ACACTAGGCAACGGGTGATTGAAAAATTACGCCCTCTCTCGACGAATCAAAATCAAATCTTGCAAGTCTGTAATCATTTCCGTTTTTGTTGTTGTTGTTGTTGTAACCGCAAAAATATTCCAAAAAGTACTTTTTGAGGAATGTTGCGGGAGTGACAGTCCTTGGCCGGATAAAAAGCCGGGCCGTTTCGGTATAAAGACCCGACTGTCGCGGTCGTCTCTTACGACAGGCATGCCTTACCGCGAGTAAATTCTGGAACCCCTAACCCGTAGGGGGGGGGGTAATAATTTCCGTCCTGCAATATGGTGTAAAAGCGCGAATGATGCCGACATCTGATGAGTCCGTCTTGGGAGTATTCGAGAGAATTTTTTTGAGAACGATTTATGGTCTTTTGTGTATTGGCGACGGCGAATCTCGCAGACGATTGAACGATGAGCTGTATAAGTCATTCGGTGGTATCGGAATAGTTCAGTCGTGCCGGATAGGTCATGTTGTCCGTGTGGGTTAGAGCTTTACAGATTTGAAAGTATTCCAGGCAGTAGCCGATGATGGAAGCTGATTAAGAGGAAAATCTCCACTTCGGAGAGATTAGGTGTAGACGTGGTTTCACTTGGTATTTTCAACTGAAGCAAAGCAGCGAAGTGAAGGAACGAGTCTCGCTATTGTTGATTAGACCCTAATCGCGTAAGCGGTTTTGGAGCCACCCAAAATAAGGTTATTTCCCTATGTCTTTCCCACGATTTTCCTGTACCCCACACTTGCTTTGTAGCGAAAAATTTACGCCTACAACTTGTGTCACATATCTCTAAAAGCATTTAAAGAGATAACAAGCAAAATGACGTTATTTCTACCGGCTTCAGTGGACAGAGAATCATTAAATCGGATGCTTGGTAAGACGCTGAGAGGATTGGATCTATGAATAAACTCAAGGGTATAATTTATGGAAATAATTCCTCGCTGTTCCTGATCATCCTTTCCCTTCTATCCGTACGGCTTGGGCGAGGCCCATACTAGCACTGACTGTTATGGTACCCCAATTTTCAAGATTATTCCGATAAGTTAGAGGTTATCTATTCCTTCCTATACCAACGGCTTAAAACTTCTTAGTCATTCTACTCTCTCAGTTCGTGGAAAGACGTTCGTAGTCAAACTACTGAACGGATCAGATTTTAGTTCATTACTCTTGTCAGAAGTAAACTTCAATGCTCTAACTCGCGTATCTAGTCACTTTATTCTTCTGTTTTTACAAGGGTTACCTCTTACACTCCGGTACTTGGCAAGCCTAGTGTTGCCATCTAGCAACTGACAGCTTTAGTGCTCATTAATATTATGGTGAATTGAATCGAGGTCGTAAATCTCTCCAAGAAAAATTCAGGGTTGTCAAAAATTAGTTTTTGTACGAGAAACTATTGATGCTGTACGCAAACTGATATTGCAAGATCGTCATGCCACCTATCATGAGATTGAGCCACCTATAGGCATTAGTGGGACCAGCATACGTTCAATATTGCATGAACATTTAACCGTAAAATTTTTTTTACGTTGGATCCCACATAATTTGTTAATCGCTCAAGAAGGCTCATGCCGATTGGTCCAGAGAAATCTTAAAAGAATAGATCCACGTAATCGCGACAGATGATCATCGCGGATTTATTCGTATGAGCCCGAAAGTAAACAGCACTTGATTGTATGGGTCTTTAAAGATGAGTGGGGTTCAACAAATTATGTTTTTCTGTGGAAAAATGGGACATACCGCAACCTTAAGAATAACCAAGAACAGTAAATTCTCAATGGTTCACCATAGTTTGTTGCCAACTGGCTTTCTTGAAATCACGAAAACCAACCGCCGAAGGGGATCACTTTTCCCTAATTAAAATTCAAAAGTTTTGAATCATTAAAGTTCAGTTGGTGAGTGGTGAAGCTTATTCCATACTACGAGAGGCGTAGGTTGGTCGAGGAGAGTGTTATCTTTGGATTAATTGATATAAATGAAAAGAGAAAGACCACCTAAGAGTCGGAATTAAGCGTAAAGGGATTAGCTTATATTATAAGGGACTCAACTTGGCATCGCCTGTCTCGCGATTTTAAATCTCGCTCATCTCGCGTTTTCACAGTCTTTCGAGCACCTGGCGGTAGTAGACTTGATTTACGGTTTGCCCCGGTTCTGTGGTATTCACCGTCGCCAGTGTGCAAAGGATTATACATCGTATGTCATAATTTTCTCTCGAAGACTCCCAGAGCTACTTCAGCGGATATCGACATCCGTCAGTCTTCTGTATCATACGGCAGGACGGGGTTGATGAGTGACATGCGAAACTGTTTTTTTCCAACTGCCTGCTCAGTAGCATCTGTCGTCAAAAATGATTCTGCGTTCGGCTGACATTACTATTGGTATTAACTCTGGTCCCTACATAGACGAAGTGGCGAATGAATGACTGTTTGTCTGATGGCAGAAGATATTTCGTCTTTTGCTCATGCATTGCTAGACCCATTCACCTTGCGTAATTGTCAAGCTTGGCAAGAAGGCAGAACTATTGGCGCGGCTGTAAAGGTCTATGATTTCAACGTCAACGGAATATCCCAGAAGTTGTACAACCTTGTAACAGAGCGCTGCAGCTCTTATTATTTTCTCCAGCATCAAATTGAGGAAATAACACGATAAAGAGTCACAATATCTGAGAGGTCCTTCCCAAATCTGATTAGCCTTCTGGTGTTGCCCAGCGTCAGACTACACAACCGTTCAAATTTTGCAGGAATACGAAGTTTGAAAATTCTCACGGATCTACTCCAAGATTTGTCCGTGGTAAATATCTGAGCTATGGTGGATTTATCAGGTCTAAAGCCGCCCTGGTAAGGTCCAATCAGCTTGCTGACGGTGGGCTTTAATGTTTCACACAATACACTTGATAGCACCTTCTAGGTGATATTTAGGAGGCAAATCCCATGATAATTGGCGTAATTTGATCAGTAATAGGAGTCTCTTACCATTCTGCTTCTTAATGCTCTTTAAGGACTTCATTTTCATTTTCATTTGACCATATGTATGTATGTATGTATATGCGCTTTGCAATATTAAATTTCTAAATAAAATGGCATGCCATATAAAATTCAATATTTTTCAAAACAAAACTCGACGACCCAGAAGTGAAACTTTCACTTAAATTTTATTAATAACTTTTCGCCAAAAGTAAGAAATAAGCCAACAACAAAAATAGCAACAACAAAAATAGCTTTAATACGATGACGAATGCAAAACTTTAGTTGTTAGACTATTATAAACTTTGCTGCTCCAAAATTTCCCAAGCAAAACTGAGTAGACAAGACAAAGCCAACGTCGACGCTAACGCTGACGTCGGCAGCAACGGTATCGAGTACATTAACCGCAGCGACTTAAGCGCGACCTCAGCGTGTGAAAGTGCTTAAAGCAAGACACCGAAGAAAGAGAGGTATAAAGAGGAAAAGATGGAGAGATACAGAGAGAGAGAGGAACTGAGGGAGAGAGAGAGAGAGAAAATAGATGGCGATAGAGATAGCGCAAATTTGTCGAGGAAGTTTGGAGAAAAGTGCAAGAACTTTTCATAAAAATTAATTGATAAACTTTGATAAAAGCGCAAAAGTTGAGTTAAGTAGAAAGTGGCGTAGCGGCTTGGGGGCTGCGAGGGGGCTAAAGTTCTGCTACGTGTTTTTGTTGAAAATATGAGTCATTGCCAACTCAGACAGCGGCACAGGAATTTCATAACATACCGGAATTACCTATCGACCGACCGGCCGCCAGCTGTCTGTCTGCCGCTCTGCCTGTCTGTCTGTCTGGCTGCACCCCTCTTTAGCGTAAGTATGTGTGTGTGTATGGCGCTTTTGTACTTTGGTAATAATTTAAATAACAAAAGTTATAAAGTTGTGAAAAAAATTAGAACTTTATGTTTGGTGTTTGGGTTAAACGGCGACGCGTCGAGTGACGCTGACGTTGCCACTAGGCCATAACAAAAGTTAGCGGTCGCTGAGAGAAAAGTTAGAAAATTCGAAGTTTTGAGTTTTGGTGTGAAAGTTGTTGCGCCACCGCCATATTTTATTTTATTTTTATGTTGTTTTTTGTTTTAAATTTAATAACATTATGCTATCTATCTCTCTCGCACGCATTGCCGTCTTGCCTGACTGTCTAACAGTCTCGGTGTCTTTAGCATGTTATGTCTGTCTGTCTACTTTTCAAACTGTAGTGTTTGAGTTCGGTAGTCGAAACTAGTTTTGTTTCTGAAATTTTGGGCGACGTCCTTGAAAACTGTAATAAGAAGTTTATAAACAAAGTCATGCAGGAATTTAGTACAATGATAACGGCAAACAAATTTTAAAGAAGCATATGTATGCTCGTATGTGTAAATGTTTGAATTTAAATAGTTAAAGAATTATGAGCAACACTACAACTTTAGGCACATGATTTTTTAGTAGCTTGTAGTGTTGCAAAGGTCAAAAGGTCAAAAGGTTAGGCTCGATCCAACGCCTGAGTTTAGCTATACTCGACGAATTTTAACTACAAACACATTTGGCGTTTAATATATATCGTATAATGCAGCGAGATGTATTTGCAAATATTGTATTTTAAGGCTTGCCAATTTTTCGCTAATAGTATGTATATATTTTAAAGCAAAGAAAAATTTTTGCTCAAAAATATTTTATGTCCAAAAAAGATTTTATGTCCAGTCAGTTTTATGGCAAGCCATATTTTATGTCAAAACATTTTTAAGGCAAGCCATATTTTATGTCAAACTAATTTTATGGCAAGCCATTTTTTAATATTTCCGGAAACCTATGAAAGCTAAGATAAAAAAATTCGTGATCACAAAATGTTTGGTTTCACATCTTTTCTAAATACCCTAACTACACACCGAATACTTTGCACCAAATTATGCTAAAATATAAATAATATCTAATATTAGCATACGCTACATACTTATAATCTACTCATATCCATATTTGTTTGCCTCAACGAACCTGAGCCTACGTACCCTATCGCTGGTGTGCAACTGTGATTCCATGGCATTTATATCGGACTTCAAACGCATCATTTGCGATTCGACGCGTGCATTCTCCCGTTGCAGCTCCGTTATTTCAGCTTCGAGTGTATTCAAATCTTCACCAACAATGCCACTGCCATTACCGACGCCACTGCTGCCAATTGCTGAGGGCACATTACTGTTCGACGCTAAACTGTTGCCACTGCCAGCATTACTAACGCTGTTGTTATTGTTTGTATTGTTATTGTTGTTGCCTTGTAGACTGTCCGGTAAGGTGGCTGTACCGGCGACAGAGGAAGAAACATTACCCAAAGCAGCTGAGGAGCTAACGACAGAAGCGTTATTGTTGTTGTTGCTGCTATTACTAATATTACTGGAAACGGAAGCGGACGAAGATACAGCGGAGCCGACACCGCCCATCATCATGTCGATGCCTGGTGGAGAGAGACAGAGGGAGGAGAAAATAATTGATATTAGTAAAAAAAAAAAATTATTTAGGTTCATTAAAAATATGCTTTTCAAATCTGCGGAAAGCTACAAAAATTAATATGTGCGCGTGTGCTAAATGCCAACTTGACTGGCATACTTTTAGGCTGAGCGAAAGGCCCTTTAAGGCATAAAATAACAAAACAAAAATAGATGTAAATAAAAAAAAATTATAGAAAAAAAATAATATAAATTATTATAAAATAATATAAAGTAAAAAATAAAATAAAATAAAATACAATACAATAAAATAAAATAAAATAAAATAAAATAAAATAAAATAAAATAAAATAAAATAAAATAAAATAAAATAAATTAAAATAAAATAAAGTTAAATTAAATTAAATAAAAAAGTAAGTAAAATATAATAAAGAAATGTATCATAAAACGAAATAAAATAAAATAAAACATAATGAAATAAAAATAAAAAAAAAAAAAAAAAAAATATAAGAAAAAATTAAATTAAAACAAAATAAAATAATATATAATAAATAAATTGAGGAGATAAATTATAATAAGATAATATCAAATGAAAATTCAAAATAAAATAATACACAACAATAAAATAAAAAAGTAATTAAAAATAATAATAATTGTTTAATTAACAAACTAAATAAATACGAATTTAATTAAAATAAACGTAAAAATATAAATGAAGTATATTATATAAAAAAAAATTAAGAAAAATGAAATAAAGTATATTAAAATGAAATAACAAACTGTATTTAAAATTAAAAAAAAAAGATTAAAATAAAATAAAGTTAAACAAATAATTAAAACAAAACAAAATTAATTTAAAATGAGATAAATTCTAATAAGATAAAAAAAAAATAAATAAAACCAAGTATATATATTAATATATAAATAAAAAAAACCAAAATAAAAAAATAAAAAATGAAAAATTGAAAAAAAATTTAAAACAAATAAAACAAAAAAATAAAACAACATTAGTTAAGAAACAATTAACAAATGAAATATATAAAAGTGTTTGGCGGCGTTGCTGTTATGAATTTCATATTTTTGGAAAAAAACTTGTTAATGTAACTTTTAAGATATTTGTTGCTGTCATCTATGCTTTTACTTTTAAATTGTCTCTAATTTTTTACTATTACTTCAAAATGTTTAATATTGTAAAAAGAATTTTTGAAATAATTTAATCAGAAACGATGTGCAAAAAGAAAATTGTGGACTGAGCATTGGAGCTTACCTTGTTCAGTATTCGTGTCAATCAATCATTCGGTGGATAGGTGATTCAATATGGAACGTTTTGGTACGGATTAAATGTCGCTACGATTATTTGGTTAAGGTACTTTGTGTATATATTTATTTGTGAATAAAGATTTTATCGGAAGAAAATTTTTCGTTGAAAAATCTTCTAGCTGCAGTTATCAATATTAAAAATTTAGTACATTTAACTTTTTTTTTTTACTAAAAATTCTACTCATTTTATAGCAGATATTCGGCACCGATACAAAACGTCGCGTAATCTAAACACAAATAATCCACATGAAACGAAACGTTTAAGAAAAAATAGAAAGAAAATGAGAGAATAATTAGAAATGAATATTAGAATTTTTTCTTTGTTTGTTGTAGTTGTTAAGTTCGATTAAGTTAGCAGAAGAACACATATGAGAAATGCTTAATTACGAAAATGAGAAAAAAATAAAAAAAAAAACAAATAATAATTTATTTATTTTTATTTATTAGCACACGCACACATATCAACATGAGTATATCACAAAACCGAAAACAAAAGTATAAGGTGATTTTATGTTTATTTCAAAATGGTTTAAAATCAAAGAAAAGTAAAATTTTAATTTTTATCATCCTCATTTCTCTCCCCTCCGCTTACCTGTATAGCCCTTCGGATAAACCATTGTAACATCATCGAATTTCGGTTTCTTCATACTCTGACTAGCGCTGCCACAGCCTGCAGTTGGAGTGGTGTTTGTATGTGTATGTATGTATATATGTGTTTGAAGAAAAGAAAGCGCAAGATAATCAAAAAGGGGTTAGTAATTTGCTTCGCTTTGCATAAGTTGATTTGTAAGACATTACCAAAATGTTGAGCATACGCACCGTCAAACTTCATCGCAGTCGCCGCAGCGACGGCGGCTTTATGCTGTTCTACGGTGCCGCCGGCTTCGAGTACTCGCATTTTATTACGATTCGCGATGGGACAGCCGGAGGCGCTATAGATAAAAAGAGAGTGAGAGAGAGAGAGAGAGTAGATTGTAAGTTAGAATGATGGCAGTAACGGTTAATAGAGTTGTTAATTAAAGATATGGTACAATGTAAATATGTACATGCGTGATTATGTGGAGTAAGTTGTAGTACATTTACCTTCTGTGCGATAAGAATTTGCCAGTTGAATGTCCTGAGCCATCACAGCCGGGTATGGGGCATCTGGAATATGGGAAATAAGAAGAAAGGATTTGAGGTGAATATGAAATTTTTACGAGATTTTCAATTTGGTTCTCATTAAAAAATCTGTATCAAAACGAGCATTAATTGCTTTATGTGAGCCTTACGATATAGAAGACATGAATACTGGGAACCAGAGCCAAATGAAAACATCAAAAAGGGACCGTTGTCCTATACTGTGTTTTTCAAGAAAAGTTGGAAAATTTCTGAGTTTTAAATCTTGGTTAAATTCCAACGACGAATGCCGTCGGACCACTTATAAGCAGCGATTTCAAGAAAACTCCCAAACTCTATAAAGATTCTACGATTGAAGTAGTAATAAGGCTCTTATTTTAGACCCGAAGGATACACGATGAGTCAGTATGAGATACTTCGGATCGCCGGGAACCTGAGTAACTGCCGATGCAAAGACTTAAGTTCATGCATATGTGGAAGAACTCAGTAAACTCCACGAATTATACACAACTTTACAAAACGAGTGACACACATTCATATTATATATTGGGAGCCTTTAACCTACTAACATTATTTCGAACTATTTTTCTGCCATTGACATCCATCGGTGGTGAGTGCAGTTAAAGGAGTCACATATCAGAACTATTGGGAGAGAAAGAGTCGTTCGATGTATTTTGCATACCAAGAGCGCTAAGACCTTCACTCGAAAGGCTACACAATCTCCATTCGAAAGCATGAAAACGAAATCTGTTGTGTGTTTGGCGGCAGGAAGACATTATAGCTTATCGACAAAAGGGCCATTGAAGTGTACGACCACCGAAAGCATGTGTAAATGCAGTGAAAGGGGACTACAGTATAGTCATACACCTAATGATACCATTTCTGTTCAGCCAGATCAGTTTAGACGACTAGAAGATATCCGCTTCTGAGCTTCGAAAAAGCGTTGACGTCCTTTACGACGACCTCTTTATCAAAAATTTGAGCTTCCGTCAGTCACCATACTGCCAGAAGGCCGGAACTAATAGTCAGGGTTACCGTAAGATCAAAACTACTCAATGCTATCTGCTTTTGGACCAATTTGTCATTGGACAAACTCAGAGAGTAATATAGTGCTTGTAGATAAGACAGGTAGAACTGTCGCTGCAAGACTAGCTGTCAGACTCAGAGAATGGAAAGCTTTCGTGTACTCAAGCTTTAGACACTACACTGTAATTGCAACTGCAAGTTGGTGCCGAGTGGCTCCTTCTCCACCATAATCCCTTCAAGGGAAGGCTGAAGGGAACAAATCACTTAAGTTACACACAGATGGCTTGACTTTTAGCGGAAATATTGGGGAGGTCGACCTGTTCAAAAGAGTCTTTCAATCAAGTATTATGAATAAATATTCGCACTCACCTTAGCGGCTCCGAATCCTGCCCATCACGTGGCTTACTCTTCGGTTTATTTGCACGCGGACAACCCGATAAGCTGCGATGCGACGAATAATTGCCAGTGACATGACCCGAACCATCGCAACCGGGCGTAGGGCATTTCAGTTCTTGTGAATGTGGCTGCAGATGATTGCGATCGCTGCGCGTACAGCCCGTTAAGCTGTGGAGAGTAATAGAGAAATGGTTAAAATTGAGAAAAAACTAAAAAAGCAATAAAAATATAACCAAGGCATGCAATGAAAACTATAAACGCGTCGGGTGTATGGTCGTCAATGCTTAAGTGAAGCGGAGATAACAGTTTTTGGCCTAAGACCAATCGGCATTTGTGTGCCGATGAAAGTTGCGATTTCTTCGATTTTACAAATTTTATCTGGCGAATCGCACACATCACGCAAGATGTAATAGTTTGTGTGTAGCGGATTGGCGTGCGAGTTGGCTGCAGCGCTAGCCAATGGCTAAACTCATTTCTCCAACTAACAATTGGTCAGTGTACGCCTGAGTGCACACTTGAAAGTTGAAATTCTCTATTGCTCTGATTGACTGTTATGTTCGTTCGTAGTGGACTTGAAGCTGAGTAAGCTCTAGCGAAGAGTTGGTTATCAATTTTGATCTCAAATGCTGGCAAATGCGGGTGGTCTTAAGTTTTACCAGCTTAATTTGGTTTTCTTATGAGCTTTGACTGCACTGATAGCAAAGAATCTACAAATAGTTGAAGGCTAGAGGGAGCTTAGTCGCTTTAAAGTGGCTCTGTGCACACGTGGAATTGCTGAGCTCATAAACCAGTTTTATTCAGTAAAATCATCTACAACAGTTTAAATTTTACTCACTCCTTCCACAGTCTTTTGTTAGTCAGAACGCACCATCTGTCCACTACACAGAGAGCTGCGGCGCTGCGGCGCTTCGACGCTCTGATGCTTGCTCGTTTCGTTAGTAATTTCAATTTATTGCCACTGCGTCGTTTGGGGGCCACACATCTTTATAAATATTAAAATCTGTCAAAAGGGACACACTTCAGCAAATGCAACAACATCATCAACTCATCAGTTCGACATCGGCATAAGCACACTCGCTTAGATACGAGTACATATATAGATATATAGGACCACAATGGTCTCCGTCCTTTGTCAATGCTCCGAAACTCGTCTGATAAGTGTCATTATTGCATATTTTAATATTTTCCATAATGTTCAAACACATGCTGGTTTGGGCTACCACTCGAACGTCCTCCCACGTGCACAAGACATACACACATCGTTGAAGAGGACATTTGCCGGTGCTCTTTTCATTATAGTAATAACGAGACTAGTGTCCTTTCCGGCAAACTTTACTTCACGTTCGCTCCACATTGTGTGGTTCACTCGTCGATGCTGAGTGGGGGCTGGGCAAACTATTATATATTTTCCTGAGAAAAATAATTTTGCATGCAGAACAAGTTGGGAAATGAGGACGACGAGTAGGTGGATGTGAAGGAGTTGGAGATTTAAAGGTACACATATGGCTGCATACCTTTTGGGTTAGTAAAACGGACATTGCAAATACATACATACATATTATATAAGACAAGTAGCAAAATAGTAGTTGTAATAAAGTAGCTGTTAGTAGTTAAAGTGATTTGACTTGCCATTCGACTAACCTATCCTTTGTCTTGTCATGTTGTGGTATATGCTGCGGTGGCGGCATGGAGTAACACGATGCTGGACTGGGTGAGTAGCCACCCGATACGGGTGTCGGATATCCGCCGGGACCGACAGCAGTTGCATAAGGATTGCTGCATTGATATGCGGCTGGACCGTAGCCATGATAGCCGGCTGGGGGATAATCAGATTGTACGACCATGCCGTAGCCGGGATGAGGTGAGTAGCCTGGTTGGTTGTGTGCGGAAGTGTAGATGAATAAATGGAGAAATTAAAGAAGAGAGTAGTGTTGAGAGAAAAAGAACAGTATATTAGCCAGATAGAAGTTATAAACAAAGCTTGAAGCTTAAAAGGCTTTAAGCTCGTTAAAACTTATTCTAAAATAATTCTTTAACTGTCGCACTCTTCATCACTTACCACTTGGATCACGATAGCTATCGATATAGTGTGAACCGCCACTATCCGGTGTAGATTCACGACTATATGGCCGCGGTCCGCCTATATGACCGACCAAGCCGAAACCGAGTGGTCGTGGCGGACCGCTAAAATCAACTGGTTCCATTTGTGGTGAACGTGGCGCGCCGTTAGGGCCTGTGGGTGGCACACCCGGTCCAAAACCTTGTGGATGTCCAACGACTAGACCGTCGGGATGCGTGCCGTATTGTGGGCTGGTGATAATACTGGAAAGATAAGAGAAAAAGCAAGATTGCGTTGGTTAGCATTTTGAGTAATTCTTTGTATGAGTTGTTTTAAAGGACGGATGAGTGGAGGATTGAGTTCGTGTATTGGGATTTGCGGCATTTATGTTATGCCTGTTGAGTAAATAAAACTTAGTTGTGTGTGAGTGTGTGTGTGTAAGTGTAACCAGCCAGCTCTCAAGTCTTTATTTATGGTTCTCAGACCAAACTTTCTCCCGTTTTCTCATCATCAAAACAAAAAAAAAGAAAAGACAAACCAAAATCAAGCGGAATTGTAAGCGACACCATTTCAAAACAGTTTCAAGTTTAAGAAACAATGCCTAACCAAATAGCGAGCCAAGCCGTAAGCATGAATCTTCGCACAACGGGGTTCGGCCCAGCAGATCCTAAGTTCTACTTTTCGATCAACTCAATAGACTACCTTTTATTAGTTTGCTTATGCTTACGCAAGAATCTCTGATCCCACTTACCTGTGTGGCAAACGGGTCACGCTTAGATCCAACGTCTGTCCCTGTGGGCTTGGCACTTGCGGACTGGCAATGTTGGGGCTCGCACCGGGCTGTGGACTACCAGCGCCCATACGTTGACTGTACTGGTTGTGTGATGATGGCGAGTTGAAACCATGCGGACTGGATGAAGTTACCGAAGCGGAGGCTGACAAGTCAACTACGGGTGCGCCAGGTGGTGATGGCGAACCGCTCTGTTTCGGTTGTGGCTGTTGCTGCTGCTGTTGTTGTTGTTGTTGCTGCTGCTGCTGTTGTTGCTGATTTTGATATGCAGCCGCAGCAGCTGCCGCCTGAGCTGCAGCCATTTTCACAGACAAATTAATAGCAGAGAAACCCGGTGGCAGTGGACCCATACTCGGATCATAATGATACATAGGTCGTGGGTATATTGGTCCGCCATTGGCGAGCTCATCATGTTCCGCTTTCGCCATTAACATTTGCTGCTCCTGCAAGTACTTTTGCTGTTGAACCTGCAAGTCATCTGCGGACTGTGGCAGGTAGTGGTACATATTCGAGGGTGGACCTTGACGTTGGCCATTACAAATGGGATCGTAACGTTCAAAAGCCGTCGGCATGCCAGCAATACTAGTCACTCCCGTCGCATCACCGTAGGCAGCAGCGGCGGCGGCGGATGATAGCGAAGTCGGTGGATTTGTGTCGTAAGCGCGTGCATTGGGCGAGAGCGCATCAGTGGGAGTGCCACCGTTGGCTGTAAGCATATCTTGGCCATAAGAGGAGGTGGGCGGCTTACCGCCTGTCAAAGAACCATCGCCACCAACACCCCCATTGACCATATGGTGGGCATAGCGCATATGCTCATAGTGTTGTTGTTGTTGATGTTGCTGATGTTGGTGTTGGGCGTCATCGTGGTGACCATCGGTGCGATATGGATCGGCACCATTCACGGAAGCTCCATTGCCGGCGGACATCATTAGTGCTGATGAGTCTTCGATGAATGGTCCGCGTTGTTGATGTAGCGTGTGCTGTTGCTGTTGATGTGGATTATGTGGACTTTGTTGTTGTTGTTGTTGTGCCTGCTGCTGCTGCTGCTGTTGATGTTGTTGCTGATGTGGGTCGGCCATTGTGTGAGTTGGTTGCTGCTGCTGCTGTTGTTGTTGTTGCTGCTGCATGCTCACGTAGCCGGATGCTTGAAGTGTTCCGGTCGCACTTCGGACTCCACTCAAGTGCGGCGCGTGCAAATTATCTGAATTTGTGGTGGACACAACGCCAACGTTCGTTGAAGTATTACCATTGGCTGTGTGCTGGTCGCTTGGGCCACCAACGCTAACGCCATTGCCAACTGTACCACTACCACCGGCTGTGGGGTCCGCATTGTTGTTCATGTATGGATGCATGGGACTCTTATTGTATTCGGACTTGACGCTGGCGACCGGACTGAATTCCGATTTGATAATTGGCATTGCGTTGCTCGCCCCACTTGAGTTGGTCACTGCCGTTGTGTTCGTGCTCGAGTTGAGGCTGAGTGTGCTGTTGTTGTTGGCGGAAGTGTTGCTGTTGCTGCTGCTGGTCGTGCAGTGTCCGCTATTATGGTTGATGCAGCTGACGTTGTTGTTATTCAAGTATTGATTCGAAGCGATTTTCAACTTTTCCAAATGATTCAACTCCTTCGGTTCGGTCTTGAATGTGTCTACTACAGCTGTGAGTGAGAGGGAAGGGAGGAAGAGATAAATAGTGTGAAAGCAGTACATACACACACACATATATAAATATATATATATATATATATTGTATAATAAGAGAAAGCATAAAAATAATATTAAAATTTTAAATGAGCTGAAAATCCCTTTCGTTGGAGTAAAGATCGATTAGAAAACATTGATTTGTGACCAACCTGGTTCTCCCTCAACGAACTCTTTATCTTTAGACCTTAACACAGTTCTAGATCCACTCTCCAATTTCTTGTCTATTAACGCTATACTCAATGAAGGCGTTCTCTTACTTAACGCCGCCGATGTCTGCTCTGTACTGCTCACTTTCTTAGCTGCGCGCTTTACAGCCTTCGGACAACCGGAGAGACTACGATGCACGCTGCGGTGGGACTGGACATGACCACGCCCATTGCAGCCCGGCGTGGGACACTTGAGAATTTGCTCGTGTAAAGCCAATACTACGGAATATTTTTTGAAAGTGTGCGAATTAAAAATTTTTATTATCTCTTTTTCTCTTTTCATTTCAGTTCTAAACGTTTTACAACACTGTTCCACTACGAGTACGATTATTTCACGAGCATTCGGCATTCCACAGAGCTTAGAGTATAGAGTTTAGGAGCTCGACAAAAGTTTGCCGATAGAAAGTGTAAGATTTCAGCTTGGAGATAGTATTAGAAGCAGTTGATAGGAGTGGCTACTAATGCATCATTCGATGGCAGATAGAAGACGGAAGATCACAAACATTTATATAGACAGTTTGGCCAGAAGAGAGGCATATATAAAGCAGACACATATTTACCACCTACGAGTATCTAATATTTTATTTCAGAGTTTACTGAATCTTTTCATTTTTATTTAATCTCTACCCCTTTGAAAATGATTTCACAATAGAAATTTTCATTAAATAAGTTTTAAAAACTAAAATCTTTTCAAAATAAAATATAATATCGTGGAAGAAGCTTGTAAACGTGCTTAAGAAGAATACGACTTAAAAATAAAATAAAATAAAATAAATTAAAATAAAATAAAATAAAATAAAATAAAATAAAATAAAATAAAATAAAATAAATTTAAATAAAATGAAATAAAATAAAATAAAATAAAATTAAATAAAATAATATAAAATAAAATAATATAAAATAAAATAAGTTAAAATAAAATAAAGTATTTCTAAGTAAAAAATTTAAGATGAAAAAATAATTATAGATTAATAAAATAATTATTTTCGTTGATATACATATATATGCTATTTATGCCATGCAACATAAAATGACACACAAATTTAATAGATAAAAACAATCATGCCGAAAATACATGTTTTTACACATATATTTTTATATATTATATTATATTTAACTAATAATAATACAATAAAATCAAATATTTTTTCAACTTACATTCTGAGGTGACTTTATCACGTTTGGGACAACCAGATAAGCTGAAAAAGGCGCACAATAGCAAAATACGGATATGAACAAGTGCAAATACGCGAAGTGAAGGCAAAAAGATTTTCAAATTTATGGAATGAGCTCACTATCATTTATTTGAATCAATTTTAGAAAAAAAAATATTTCAAATTGTTTTTTAATTATTCTGGTTACTATGAAAGGCTGGTCAATTCGCTGGAAGCTAAAAAGGCTGCATTTGAAAAAATTATATGGATTGTTTCCTAATTGGATGGTTCATGTAGAAGTATTGAGATAAATACACTAAGAGCCAAGCGTTGGCACCTTTGTCAGCATATTTTTCCAAAATATCAATTCTCTGCCCACATATATCAGCAACATACTAGTAAAATACTAGTTTATTTAATTACCACTTTGCAGCAGTAAAGAAAACTGATAGTTTGTGAAACTAGCATTACATAAATGTGAACTCATTCCTTCATTTGCAATTTCAATTGAATTTATACCTTCGATGATGTGAATAAAGTCCCGTGATATGTCCTTGACCGTTACAGCTTGGCGTGGGGCATTTGGTGCCATCTGTAACGAATGTTGGTGGAGAGGTAATGACAAAAAAATCAAAAGCTGCATATGTAGACATACAACAACTACATTAAAATAATTAATAAAGAAATAAGTAACAAAAAAATAAGAAAGCAAATCGTCAAAAGTTCTTAAAAAGACAAATTAAGCAAATAAAAATAAAAATAATTAAAATTAAATTGTCTGCCAACTGTGTACTAATTAAATATACATTGAGGGGAAATTTTAAGAAAAATGATATACATACACACATAAGTCTATTTTCAAAACTCATGTGCTTTCTAGTGAAAATTTGATGAGCTCTCAAAAGAAATGGTTAAGTTTTAAGATTTTTTGGGTATATTCAAGTACATGAATCATTAGCTGGATATGTGTTTATATAAGCATATTGATATAATATATGCATATGTATGTATTATTTTAAACTTTTTTCACTCATACAGTTACTTTTGAGTATCTTCGTTAAATTTTTGCTTTTTAATTAATTAAACGTAAGCAAATGATAGACATGACAAGCGAAGCAACTTCTATGTAATATGTTAATGAACACATACTTATGTATGTAAGTATACACCTTACGTGCATATACTTAAAAATTATTTAGCTCGGTTCAAATGTTCAGAGATACATATATAATATAAAGAAAAGAGTGAAGAAGCGAACGCTTCAAGTATTTCTTAGCATTTTTCCTAAATAATAAATTAAAATTTGATGGAAAACAGCTTTGCATTATTTACACCCATACACACACACATACCAGTTGAGTGCACACGCACACATACATAACATAAAAATTTTCTATTCGCAAATAAACCAAATTATTTAATGTTTAAAAAAAAAATATTTGTCTGAGACGTGCTTATATCTGCCACTGTCTTTACATATATGTACATGTAAACACAAGTAGGTATTTGTGTGTTTCCAGCATATGGGTTTGAAGTCAAAGGGGTGATATTTTTAATGTATGTGGGGTTAAAAAGCAGGTTATGGAAAATGTTTAGAAAATATTTTTGTGTATTACGTGCGAGGTTAAAGAACACGGAAGAAAATTGAGATTCAATGCACACTGCCAGGCTCTTCAAATTATACACACATACAAATACATGTAATAAGCGCACACATTACATAGCAGCAGACAACGTTCGGTTCACTGCCAGCATATTTGTAGTAAATTTGTTAGTGTAACTTTGCATGGATATGTTTTGTCGCACACAGAGGACTACCTGAGATGATGCAAATGCTTAACTAATTAGAATTTAATGAAAATAAGCAAAAATGACAGATTGGAGATGGTTGGAGGTGGCTACCAATGTGTTGGTTGGAAGATTTTAGAGGTAAGTAACGAAGTATAGAATATAGTTTAAGAAGAAATTTAATCTTATATATGTACATATATGTACATTTACATTTTATACAATAAAATCAATAAAATAACGCAAAAGGAAATAAAATAAAAAATAAAATAAAATAAAATAAAATAAAATAAAATAAAATAAAATAAAATAAAGTAAAATAAATAAAAAATAAAATAAAATAAAATAAAATAAAATAAAATAAAATAAAATAAAATAAAATAAAATAAAATAAAATAAAATAAAATAAAATAAAATAAAAAATAAAATAAAACAAAATATAATAAAATAAAACAAAATGTAATAAAAAATTATATTAAATAAAGTAAAATAATATAGAACAAAATAAAATGAACTATAATAAATCAAATAAAATTAAGTAAAGAAAAAATAAAATGAAATGAGATAAAATGAAAAACTAATTAAAAAGGATAAAACGAAACGAAATGAAATAAAGTAATGCAAATAAAAAAAAATAAATAAATTCGAAGTTTTGGTCTGTCTGAATTGTGTTCGAGTAGTCATTACTCTTTCAAGCATTTGAAAACGGCACATGGATATGGTCATTAAATAGAAACTCTTTATTCTAAAGTTATAATAATAACTTGTCTCTAGCTTGGGTATTTCAAACTAAAGCTTATATTTTTATGTTCCTTAGGAACGACATATATTTCCAGATACTTCTGGTACTTCAAATATGTATCAGAAATAAATAAATAAAGTAGGTACAAAAATATTAGAAAATTAGTCAAATATACATAAGTTATTGCAAATTTGTATGTATGCACATATGCCAGTTTTAAGCCTACCTTAAACTTTTCTCCCTTACCCTAGAATCCTATTTGACTCATCAGAAATTTCGCTTAAAATGTCAATCAAATAGATATTTGGGCTTTTAATTTATGCCGCCAACAAACTAGGAACAACTTGAAAAGCAAATACAAAAAAAAAATCGAAAATATAATAAATATGCCGCAGGCTCATACGCGCACTTCACTCATACGCCGAGTGGCACCGCCATTAGCTCAAAAATGCCTAAACGGAATTTCACCACCAGGAAAGCCTAGCCTAATAAGCGCAATTTTGCCAGCAGCTACATATTTACATTCGTGCGTATGTGAGTGTAGTATACAGCATCGAGCTAAACTAATGACTTATTATTTTAATAATATACAGAGAGTTTTTGAGTTTTACGTGTGTGATATGTGTGGGTAGGAATCAAGTAGAAGGATGTGTGTACTTCCATACATACGCACGTGTGACAGAGAACAAAACTATTTAAAAAGTCATTCAAATTATGACAACAAAAAAGCCGAAAGGCTTTCTCTACAAACACATACATACAAAATATAAATACATAAAATATTACTTTATAAATCCACTTCCGCAATTAGTTGTTGCTGCTGCTACGACATGAGGTTGGTTGTTGGTGTTTGTTATAAGAAAGCTTAATGGCAGCTAAGCAATCATGCTTGATGGCATTAATGCCGACGTAATGACAAAATAAATATGCGAAAGTGGTTTTTAGTGCGACACAAACACACACACATATACATATACACACAAACACACATACTTGGATACATGCTTACAGCTTAATAAAAACAAAAACAAGAAAACACGCATACAAATAATAATTCCTAAAACGACTGCCACTCAGCTTGCTAGCTCAGCCTCCATCCGCTGGCATTCCACTTGTTTTTGCTAAAAAGATGAATTTTCAAAATTCTAATATACTAAATTTTGTTGTGGACACACACATGCACACACCCAACAGTCGTACCATATTCGTTATAAAAGCCGCGTACGTGTCTAATGTGCGCTAATGACTCTTTAGGTGGGTGAGTCTGAAAGCGTCGGTGGGCGCGTATGTGTATTTGAAAGGGTTGGAGTTGGGACTTTTGTGAGGTTTTTGTAATACTAAATACTAAATGTGCATACAACAACAAAGCAATAATAACAAAAGTAATACTTATTGTAAGCCGTCAAGAGTTTTGTCTTTCTTTTGCTTTCCTTGCGTTGTTGCGTAGGTGAAGTGCGCTGAGGTGTGTTGAGGTGTGTTGAGGTGTGAGGTAGTGTGTTGAAGTGTCGTCTTAAATGCCAACAAAATGCGCAAATAATAACAATTCTTATTATTGTGATAACAATTTCTATTATTACAGCGCTTGAGCACTAACTAAGCATATGTGCGTGCGTGAGTGTGTTTTCCTATAGTTTGTACACTAGATACTCTAGATAAGTATGTAAAGCTGGCGAATAAGCAAATAAGTAAATTATTTGAGTGAGACTAGCTAACAGCAGGAAAACAACCAAAAACTTTTGCTTTAAATTAATTTTCGAATTTATGATTTTTTGAATTCTTTAAATCTTTTCTGTAATGTTGTATTAACGCCAGTATAGTCAAAATTTGGCTTAATTTTTTATTTAAATTAATTTTCGGTAATTTAGGTGTTAATACTTAAATAAGAGTTATGTTTACAGAAAATTTTTCAAAATGTACTAAATTAAAAATTTGAAAATTTAGAACAAATTTTGCTTTTAATGTGACGTAGCAGCGACACACGTAGGAAGTGCAGGGAGGAAGGCAAAGGTGAGACAATGCACTGCTTCTGTCAAACCTTTTCTAAAACGTTTGGAAACTTTGTAGTTAAAAGTACTCTTAAGCTTCGTAAAAAGCTTCCACGTCTTAAGCTACAGCTGCTCCCACTCGAATTGAATTGAACATCCAACTGACGGTACAAAACACCAGCAGGCCTGTGTAAGGTGTAGCAGACGACTAGTTCAACGCTTTTTATTCCCACAAAACAATTTTCTGCCGAGCTTCTGCGCTTCTCATAGTTTTAAGCCATCACCTTTTTTCGAATGAGAAATAGACTCGGTTAGATTGAAATCCTCTTCAGAAGGGGAGCAGCAAATTTATTTTTAGATGATTTTTATTTATAGTTTTGAATGGCACTGGGACTCTCGGAAGAAAATTTGTTTTAAATAAATATGCTTTTTTGGGTGATATTTTTTTTGTCATATTTCGATGAGTTCCAAAATTCTCTGGGTTAAGAATTCTTACTCATTAGAATCCAAAAGTAGGACTAATTTTTAACATACTGAATCGAGAGGCTTACCATGAAAATAGTTTTAGAGGGAGTTAAGAAAGTAGTAATCCGCTGGTATCTGCTATCCTATGGTGGAACTGGCGTCAGCTTTCAGTTAAGCTCTGTTTGTAGAACCATCGAAGAGGAGTAGTCTAGGCTTTACGTTAAAGAAACGCCACAATTTTGTGGTTCGCCAGTTCAGTGAGTTATGACTTCAATAAGAAAAGAAAAATTGAAAAAATGCTATAGAGACGAGTCTCTTCGGGAGTCTTATTTTTTTGGTATTTCAGAGTTTTTCTTAAATATCATTTTCGAGTAAACTTTATAATAATAAGCCTCATGGAAAGGTTTTTTGTTGAAATAAACTTCCAAAAGCTGGTGAGACTATGCCTTAACTACAGTCGAAAATATTAAACACATTTTTGGAATCAAAATATTTCCAAATCAGCCATCTTAAAAAAGAAAGAAAATAAATATTTGGTAAAATTATAAACAAATTGCTAGAAATGGAGTGCCAAAAATGTTGATAAATAATGCCACTAAATCAAAGTAAAAAGAAATTATGACGTTGTCTTCGGCCATGCCTAAAACTGTATACCTTTTATGAGTTGTCAAATTAAAAATTTCAATCGCTTACTGCTACTTTCTTAAAGGGTTTCTGATTCAAAACCTCATTTATGAACATATCGGTTGTATGGGGGTTATATGATATAGTCCTTTGATTCTGCTGATTTTCGACTAGTATATTTTTGGATGCAACACCAAATTTCACGCTGTCAGATGCTTTTTAGTGGACCTCTGACCAAAACCTGATATATGAATAAATCATATGTCATCATCGTCCGATTTCGAAAATTTTCAGCACTAATATGTGGTTCATCAAATGTGCGTAGAATACCCAAACTTTAGGTTCTTAACTGCTTTTTTGCCGAATTTGTATCCTTAAATTTCCACTCTTGAAAATCCTTCGTTTGTTATCTATAGTAAAGCGATCTAAACGGTTCCGAGAAATGATAGTTCAAATGTACCATTGCATCTTTGTACCAAGTTTGGTTTCAGGAATATTTCAAAAACTGAGGAACTAGTTTGCAGAAGGACAGACCGATATGGTGAAATCAACTCACATCGTCTTTCTTACCCGATCGGTATAAATTTCGTTGGGTCTATCTCTCTCACTCTCTCTCTCTCTCTGATTCTTACTTAATTCGGACCAAAGTTAAAACCATTTCATGCAATCATCATCGAAATTTTCATCTTCTTCAATGTCTCACGAATACTGATGAGCTGGACGAGTTAGTTTAATAGACATTGCTATCCAAAAGTAGTGCCCAGACCGTTGAAGATCAGTCATTCAAGGGCAGAGCAACACCTATGGTTACGGTCTTCCACAAAAATCTTAAGTGGTCAACACCCTGTGTGGTGAAAAACATCGCTGATTACCAAGCACTTTTTAATACCTAAATGACTCGGTAATTTATCCGCACAGAAAGGAATAAAATGTTAGATAACAAATGGACCAGCCGCGAGATAATAAGAAAAATTTAATTATAAAATAAAATTAAAAAAAAAATAAAAAACAAAAAAAAAAATTAAAAAAGGAGAAATTATTAAGCGAAAATCGGTTTGCCAACTAAAAAAGGTAATTTTTTTAACTGCTAAAATTAAATATTGAACTGTATATTAAAAAATTATCATTCTGTAGCTCAAATAACTTAAATAAAAACAAAAAAAAAATTTTTTTAATTAATTTTCCGCGTCTCCATGAAGACTTCAATGTCGGGTACTTCACGCTAAGCCTGCAAAAAATTAACTTCAAATTTATTATAAAAAATATATAAAAATTCCATTAAAATATAAATATGTATAAGGATTTGTATTAGAGCATGGCTTCAGTATACCTCTAAGGAAGAAACCTGCCAAAAAGATCAACACTATAAACAATGTCTGTATGTAAGGACCCTAAGTGTGTCTACGCCTGTCTAATATTGGTGTTTTCGAGTTTCGGGTGCACTGGTGAGTTTGGACTTTTGTGATGAGGTTTGGAGTTCAAACTCAATGCAACAAGAAGTTAAGCACAAGTAGACGCCGATTCATTGCAGTAAATAATAATTAAAATGATAAAGTGAACGGAAAACTAAGAAAAAAAAAACTCGATTTGCCAATGAAAGAGTAAATGAGTAAAACAACTGAAAATGCCTAAGATATAAAGATCAAACTACAAATAAGCAGATATTATTTCATTGAGTGCAGAGGCAGTTGCTGGAGCAAACTGTCCTCCGTTTACTTACCGCCACGATTGATGCTGCCCGGCGAGTAGGTCGGCTGTGGCACACTAACCGCTGGTCCACCGCCGCTGTTGCTGTTGTTGCCCACAGCAGTGACCGCTGTGACAGCGCCCTCACGCGCTATATCCTGCAACACCGAAGCCGCACGACTGCCCACACCAGCCGGTTGCAAGATTGTATAGTGCTTGGTATCAGCGCCAACACCTGCACCAGCACCAACACCGGCACCAATTGGGGGAGCAGTAGAGCTCAAAACATCGCCGTGTTTTAGCAGCTCCCCCGTTGCGTTTGATAACGTTGGTTTGTTCTCGTTGGCGCCAATTTGTGAGGCTATATCGAAACCATTGCCGCCGGCAGTTGGTGGCGTTGGACGTGTAGCGAGCATGGACAACGAATTGGGTTCGACCAGCGCATGTTGTTGATAACTAAGATAAGCAGCCGATGAGTCATTACTGCTGTAGATGGGATAGTGTGTTGGTGGTGGCGGCGGTGGTAAGCTCGATGGTAGGGACGTTGTTGCAGCGGATGTCATTGGTGCAACGCCCGGTGGTGGTGGTGGTGGTGGCGCTGGGTAGGCGGTTATGAGTCCATTGCGTCTCAAATCATTGGGCGGTTTAAAGGCGGACGCTTGTGAGAAGGCTGTGCATCGTTTGCGTTCGTCCAACGTCATGAGCTCGCTGTGCTGCTGTGCATTGATACGCGCCTGATCGTTTTCCTTTTGTCTGTGGAAACGTAAGAGATCAGTTTGAAAATTTATATCTTTGCTTGACTGTTGTAGCGTTTGTTGTGTGCCATACTTTTGTTTCTCTTCGAAGAGATTTTGAAATGGTGGCGGATTCTCGTCTTGTTCCTGCAGCCGATACAGATTATTGCGTGCCTCAGCTGGCCAACTGCCCGAGAGACTCTTGAGTGCGGCTTGTGTTTCACGTATAAGCGTCTCGTCGTCCTGATCGTCAGCGTTCACCTTCGTGGGTGTTGTTGTGCTAACCGTTTGCGTGCGTTCTGGTGAATGTGTGGCGTGCATTGTGTTGTTATTGTTGTTGGCAACTGAGCTATGCAACATGGCAACGTCGTGTGGTGATGGATTTGTTTTATTTGTGTTATTATGGTTGTTGTTGCTGCTGCAATTGCTTACAGCGCGTTTCTTCTGTGGCAAAGTTGACAATTTTTCCTCAACTTTGTTATTGCCGCTGTTGTTGTTATTGGTATTGTTGTTATTGTTATTATTATTGGTCGACTCCTCATCGCGACTTGAGCGCTTTTTACGCTTCACTGCCGTTTCGTGCTCCTCACTCTTGCTCTGGTTGTTGTTGTTGTTGTTGTTGTTGCTTTCAGCCAAAGCGGTCTCCTTGGTGAGCGGTCGTTTGGACAGAGCCATGACGAAGTTGAATCTAAATATATTTTTATGTTAAAATTGAACATTTTTTTTCATAAAATTAAGAGATTATTTCTATTTGAGGAGAGACAGATGAAATTAGCGGTTTTTTATTTTAAAATAAATATTTTTTTTTTTAGTATTAATAAATGAGAATGATGAAGAGAGGGAGTATTTTAAGTAGTTTCATTTATGAAAATTATATTTATTATAAATGATTTGTTTTTCAATATTAAAATCACTTTTCGGCGCTAACTGATTTTAAATTAGCTAAAATGAGGAAAACCAAAATTCCTTACTTTCGAGAAAAAAAGAGTTGCGATGAGTTTAATAACTAATAGCAATTTTAGACATAATTAATAGCCTGGTTCCAATGAATACTCTTGCAAGTCCGCTAGATGGCTCTGCCTGAGTTGGAAGAAAACTTAAGACTTCAGATCGAAATGTTACCGGACGGTATGGATCTATGCTAAGGTTCTGGATATTCGATGACTCATTATTCGACTTATTCCAAAAATTAAATTAAAATTTCAGCATTTGAAGAAATTATTCTCTTCTCTTTATTGCCTTTAAGCCTAGTTTTCATTTTATTTAGAGCTCTCGGAATTTACCATGTAAGTAAGTCTAGCATTTGGTTGGTGAGTTGGCTGAAAGGGATGTTGATAACCTAACAGTAGGAAGCCAACGGTGGGTATATTGTGCTTTACCCTGCATTCTAACTAAAGTTTTAGCTTCTTCCAAACGGGTGTGCCCATCATCGCTGGGAGTGTCGTGAAAGATTTAACATCTAAATCGGCTTAAGATTGCACTTTCGCCAAGGTAATATAATCGAGTGTTTCATCATGATCTGTGCATGTTCTGCACGAAGCCAATTCCGCTTTGCCCTGCTTGTGATGATGATATCTCTGTGGTGTCTCGTTAAGGCCCCCATAAAAATGCTAAGTTTTCGCTTACTTAATGCAGGTAACAGTTCGGTCTCTCTACTATTCACGCTGCCCCAGAATAATTTAGCGGTACGTCCTACGACTTGCTCTGAGACTTTCAATTTAAGGGTCATATAATTGAAAAATTATGATAATAAAGTTACCAACATCAAATGTTATGGTCTGAGCTTTCCTCCATCGTTTCTATAGAAGACCCCAGACGAATAGCATAACAGAGACCAGTAACCATTTGCTCAATTCATACAATAAGAAAGACAAACACAATTACTTTATTGGTAGTTGTCAGAGATAGGAATAAAAGTCGGTTAAAGCTCCAATTGAGAAGTATTTTAACTTCATTTTCTCAAAGCATATTCCTCTCTCGACGAAACAAGGGCCAAACTCTACAAGTCGCTCATTATTCGACTGTTATATGGTGCAGAAGTGGCGAGCAGACGGTGGTTTCTGAGTTTGGTTTTATGATATTACCTACAAACGACATCGAAAACACTTTTAAAATAAGTGGAGAGGAATGTTGATTCAATAGCGTTCAAACCGTGGTTCAGCGTTTTTTTTTACAAGTCGACCGCCTTTTATATTTGGTTAAGAACTAAACTGCACAGGGCACGAAATGCTTAATGGCGTTCAAAAATTGTCGAAAAGGCGAACGAGCCGATCTCTTTATTAGCTTCAGGTATACTAAATTTACATTAAACTTCTGACATTAAGTTCTACAAACTGAACATGTTTTGTATTTTCGTATGAATATAAAGAGGGCTGTAAAAAAGGATTCCAACATTTCATCATGTATGCCTATACAAATATACAAAAATACCGTTTCGCTCCAAAAAATGGAATAACAATATTTCATACAATATAAAGGGTGTATCCTTTGCTTTGACCATTTCAAATAAAGGTTTTATGGTTTCTCAACAATATTTGTACATAATAGGAAACACAAATAAGTTTGAGGGTGAGGTTATCTAGATATTATTCGCAAGAAAATAACGAAAGCCTGACATTTTCGCTCTCTTATGTTAGGTGTAGTAAAAAGAAGTCCATTATTTTTGCACGAAATTTAAGGCTTTAATTGGTACCTTTCGTATCCAACCGTTCCAAGCCGTTTCTATTCAATCTTTAGCTCTGGGGTAATAGACACAGTGCTTACATGACAGTCGGACTCGACGATTTCGATTTTTGTGTCGACATTTTCGACATTCCACTCCGTGAAGCATCTTTTACATTGAAACTACCGGCATGAAAACGAAATTGTGCATGATTGACTGTACACCAGTATCAGGACCATAAACACTATTCACATTTTCAGCGCGTGGCTTGCGATTTCGCCCTTACCGAAGAAAAACTGTAAAATATAGCGGATTTTCTCTTTGCTCGTTTCCAGCTTTGGCGCACGCTCAAACAAAATTGAATCAACCAATCCCTCAACTGTCAGAAAAGCTTTTTAGTACGAGATGTCATCTGTCTAAAGCCATTTAGCGGATCGACCAGATCGGACTTTTACAAAGCGAGATATAGATAAACAATAAAACATGGATTTGAAAAATAATGGATCACTTTTTACTACACCTAATATTTATGAGGCTGTTTTTGCATCTCTGAACCTTGCTATGGGTCAAAAGAGTTTGCACTACTCAATCGTTGTTACCCGTGCGTGTTGGTGACGTGCAGAGACAAACTTCCAGGTTTTATGAAAGGACGTATGTTTGTCTACAGTAGGCTCTTGGATTATTAGAAGATAATCCAAAATCATCTGCACCAATTTTGTGATTCGAAAAATATTGAGCGAGGATTGAAAAACTCAGTGCTGAAATTCTTTATGTAATCCGTAACAACATTTATGGGACCTGCGTAAGGTTTAATATGTCACAGGTCAATGTTTCAGCTCAGAGCATGGTGCAGCTGCCTCGTCTTTCATGAAATTATTTGAAATAATAATTTCTAGCGGGCTTTTGTGTACAATAATTTGCTCATAATTTTTGGAAAATATATGTATCTTTTGTTATGACGTAATGAGCCTTCCAATTTCAATAAAAAAATCGGACAAATTGAAGCAGATATTAACTAGATAGAATGGGACATGAGTTTTCAAGTGGTTTTCAGGGGAAGCTGAGAAAATGTGTTTCATGTTTGGCCAAACGAGGTGAAAAATAGTTCGGTTGTAGAATATAGATGGAAAAGCAAAAAATCTTCATACATATTTATGTTGTAATTTTATAAACAAGGAGGCTTCGTTGCAAAAGTTAAAACCCATTGATTATTGGAATATACAGCCATTTTTCACTCAATTCCCATAGTTATCGAAGAGCGATTATTTAAAAAGAGAATAGAGAGACTTGAAAATAGCTAAGAGAGAAAAGAATTCACAGAACAGCACTTGGTGAGTTGGTCAAGTCTTTTGTGTTTGCCAAGTCGTTCGGTTTAAAGTTGTTCAAAAACGCAACAGAAAACTTCTTTTTTCCTAGAACAGCACTGAAATTTATATGCATTATTACAAGCACAATTATCAGAGCACCATCAAAGCACTGCCATTTTATACACTAACTTTAGTCCATGCAGCTGCGATTTTGACAAACTTTTCGAGTATTCGAAAAATTAGAATTTTTTGTTTCGGACCTACTCGTTCTTGTTGATGGCAGATTTTCGGTTCGACTTATTTTTTGGCTAATATAAAAAACTGTCACTTATTTCCTTACTTGCGAACACACAAAAGATGAAACAGGAGGACAAAAAATTTTGTTCAAAAGTCACTTAAGGGTTAAGAGATATGTCTTGAAACCTCAGAAAATTAGTTTTTTTTGATAATTTTGTGTATAAAAGTACAATGTGTGAGGAATATTTTCCCCGCGTTTCAAGTCAATCGAGACGAAACTGTAGAAATTAGAGAGCTTTTTAAGCCGACGTCTTTGTCATGGCTTGACAGATGGTGAAACTTTAAACGCGTTTTTCTCAAAACTAATTAATCGAAATCGGTAGCCAAAATTTCTTCACGACTATTGAAGCGATCGAGTTCAAATTTCCATACTTCCTTAAGCATGTTTTTATAGTCCCTGAACGAAGGATTTATTTGATCTATGATTTCAACTCATTTTACAAGCCAATATGTGGCCTCATTTAAGGCAAAAAATTAGGTTTTTTGTAAAAAGCGCTAAAAAGTTCGATTTTTAATATTTTTTGGTTCAGGGACAAGGAAAATTCAGAAATTTTAAGAAAAAATTTAGAGTTTAGATTCCAGATAAAAATTGAAAAAGTGATCATGACTACCGCGAAAGCACTCTCTTGTGGACGGTCTACTTCACGACACTGCCAACGCCTTAAGTTATACTACTTTTCATGCAAATTTTCATCAAATGTTGTCCACATATTGCACTTTTATATGTAAAAAAATAAATTGCATACTTTATTTAGTATCTTTTAAATCAATTTGAGAAAATAAGCTTTTTTTTTGGCCTTCAAGACCTATGTAACCGCTTAAGCAGTTATAAAAGCAAAATCCACTGGTTCACAGCTCAAAACTTATGATTTCCTCACTGTGGGTTTCAAAATTTTTCATTACACTAGGGCTAAAAAGTCACGAGCCTCATAATTTTATGAGTTATTGTGCTAACAGTGAGAGCACTTTTTATTTTCAAAATAATGTAGCGAAAGCTATTTTCGTATACACGAGAATCCCAGCTTCTCCTCGTTCAAACGATGTAAAGGCTTGAGAACTTTTATAAGAACTGCACTGACTTTAAGCGCAGTCGTTGAGACATTGGTGTTGCAGAACTCAGAGAAAATCAAAATGAGCCGGTAACAGCAGAAACGCCAATAAAATTGATAAAATCATGCAAAATCGAAGTTTCTTTAGTTTAGTTGGCATAGTAAAGTTTATTTATTCATTTTAAGTCATGGTGAAGTTATTGCATGAATCCTTGACAAAGTGAAAATGGCTACAGCGTTTATATTCTCCACAAAAAATGCTCACCGGTAACAGGTAATGAAAAGCTTATCCTCGAAACTCAGGCACATTTTTAAGTAAAAAATAAATCCTTCCACAAAAGTGGCGTTGGAAAGTCAGCCCAGTTTGGCGCTT